GAGAGAGAGAGAGAGAGAGAGAGAGAGAGAGAACCACATTTTGTTTGCAAAAGGAAAGAATTGATGACCCACAGAGGCTAGCCATCTTGTACACAGTTACCTAATTAGCACCAGTAGCCAGCTTGCCTGGTGCCTGCCTATTCTTTCCAAGGTGGTGGGACTGTCTTCCTCAGGATTTCTCCTCGGGACCGTCAACTCTAAAGGAAAATATCTGAGTTGGGTGATATAAAATTACAGCGTGTCTCTGGGAAAAGTCCTTTAGGTTCTGATGAGGGGAATTGTGATTTGTTTGTACAGAGCACCTGCATCCCAGAGTTCATCAAATACTGTTGCTTGATTAAATCCACCCATTGACTGCTGAGCACGGAAGCCTTTAGGAATTGTCTACCAAGTGGTTCTCAACCTGTGGGTCGCGACCCCTTACAACAGGGGGTCGCCTAAGACCACCTGAAAACACAGGTATTTACAGTATGATTCATAACAGCAGCAATATTACAGTGATGAAGTAGCAGCGAAAATAGTTTTATGATGGGGGGGGGTCGCCACACCACAAGGAACTGTGTTAAAGGGTTACAGCATTGGGAAGATTGAGAGCCACTGGTCTAGATGAGAGGTTCCCAAATGGTGAAAGCTTTAGAAGTCTTTCTTCACATCGAGCGTTCCACAGTCTCTGCCTCTAAGAGACAGCTCCAGCTGGAGCTTTTCTCATGGGTCTGGAGCAGGAGATGAGATCTCCTTACCTCCACTTTCCCCTGTGAGAGCTCCCAGTTAGGACCTAGGCCTGGCCTTTGCCTCCCACTTTACTCCGGAGGATATTTGAGACATGCCTTTATTTTCTCGAGTAAATTATTAAGAAAAAATATGTTGAAGGTGAAAATTTGATTCTTTGACATGCTGAAACTGTTTTTATTTTGCCTAAGTGTATGTAAGTTGGAAATAGCTTGCCTCTGGGACTTTGAAGTATACTTTTATTAGTGTGTGTGTGTGTGTGTGTGTGTGTGTGTGTGTGTGTGTGTGTGAAACGTTTTCTCCCCCTCTTTTTTAAAAAATGTTTTATTAATTTTTATTAATGTTTTTTTATGTGTGTATATCTTGGTTTGTACCCTATGTGCTTGCATAGACCCTAAGAAATGCCAAACTCCTTGGAACTGGAGCTGTAAACAGCCCACAGCCGCCTGAAGTGAGTGGGTGCTTGGAACCAAACTCTGGTCCTCTGGAAAAGCGGTACACACTTTTAATCACTGGGTCATCTATCCAGCCCTCCCCTCTCTTGACAGAATTTGATTTTAAAAAACTCTATTTGCTTCAATCTTTGTTTTTTAACGCTTGTGATTATTTGCATTTAAAACAGCCACATGCAAGTGTGTATATCACACGAATACACACTGTTCTGTTCCCCTAAACACTGGCATGTGAGCGAGCTACTGGGTCCTTACTCTTTATTTCACTTACATATTTCTGCAAAGCAGGGGTTTGCGCCCACACAGCCATCATCACCAGCAATCCCTACCCTGGCCCTAGAGGTGGGCGCCCCCTGCTGTTAGTTCTCATTAATACATTTATTTGCATTTTAAATTAATTTTGTTTCATTAACCGAAATTCTACCAGTTATTGCCTCATTTAGTTTACTAATTACCCTTTTCTTCAAAATGTAAAGAAATAAACTTCCGGTTTGGGGACCAGCATTTTAAGAGCTTAGAAGTTTTCACTGTGTGTAGAAAGTTAAATAAGGCTTCTTAGATTCTCCAGAGACATGAGGTAACGCGATAGGTCACAGCACCTGACTTGGAGAGGTAGATGCAGAGAGGCATGTACAGATAATCACAACTCTCTGTGCAGAAACTTCTGAGCTGGAAGCTAGGGAAAGTGAGTTTAA